CGCCCGACCAAACTTTATTCTTGGTAAACCAAAGGAATATCAGACAATAATAAATTACTTCCCAATTAGGCTGCTAGATTCGTCATCAAAAGGAAGATACGACATTGAAACTGCTCATAACTGAGGCAAATAAAGTAAAAAGTCCCTTCAGGGAAAGTGGAATCTGTTTCCAAAAGGAAGCCTATTAAAATATTATGTGCAACTAAGTTAAAGCAGAGGACTGACGAACAATACCGAAGAGTAGCCTCATCCAGAGAGGGGCAGCGGGCGCAAACGTAAAAGACAAAGAGCGGATAGTAGAAATAAGCAGTTTGTGAACGAACACCAAACCACAAGCAAGATCAAATGCCACCTGTTTAAAAACAAAAACTTTAACTTCAGCATAACCAAATAACGTTTTTAACTCTGTGAGGAAGATGAAAGCGGAATTTTAAAAAAATGGAGCGAACAAAGCCGAGGCAGTGATGTTATACCAAACGTCATGCCTGCGATAAAGAAAGGTCAGTCTTTCCGATGTTCAATTAGATGATAATTTGTAGTGTGAACTTACGGAAAACTGGTTGGATAGACAAAACCAGAGCGCGATTTGGGTATTTTTTTAAACCGGTCATGAGAATAACCGAATGAAAATGTTTGCTTTAGTGGCAAAAATTGTGGACAACGACTGTTGGACCCCAGGCCTTTAGTGGAAAAAAAATAGGAAACAGTCAAATTATCACAAAGCTGGGGTATCTAGTTAATAAGACTCCCGGACCACATAAAGGCATATGTTCCGAAAGCACATTACCTTTTGTAAAATTAATAAGTTAAGCCCAACTCAAAAAGCTGCGTCTGAAATCCCATACCAATGAAACTGCAGGAAAGTAACTAGGCCTCCCATGAGGTGTCGATGAAGATCAGACCCCATAATTATATTGAATTTCCTAAGCTGACTTATTCGGAGGGGGGGGGGAACCTGAACGAAAAATATGATTTTGCAATAACAATGATAAAGAGGAATAAAAGGGTAGAGCGGTAGCACAGCACCAATGGTTTGGTAATCACGCAGCACCCTAAATACGAAGATAACAAATTTTATCGAACCGCAACAGTAAAAGCCGATCACTCAAGAAGAGCGCAAGGACGAATTTCTTAAGGTAAACAAATTTTGAATGGTTGGTGAGAGCAATAGTTGGTTAAAGCAATGCCCGCCATTCATCTGAGGTTACAAGAAATGGGTTTTGTTCAAGAAGAAACCTACTTTGTAGAAAGGAACATGCAAGGGGAGTATTCACTTCACTCAGTCGAGCACAATCAGACCATTGCAATGTTCTGCTACAGGCATAATTCCACTAAAAGATTTATTAACGAAAATCTTTACAATATGTTGACGTTACGAAAAAACGTCTACTGTTCGACAAGCAGTAGCAAACATTAAAAGTAGAAATCGGTTTCATTCAAAACCAAAAAAATTGAGGCAGATAATGCTAGCGACAAGAAGGATCAAAAATGTAAAGGAGGTAGGAGAGTAGAAAACCAGCGTAATGAAGAGGAGGACGTACCGCAAACTTGGAAGGGCAAGGAAGAGGAGATCGTCGAGGCGATTGAAGTTGACGATCATGAGAACTGCGATGGGCGGTTGGATAGTGCGGAGGTGTGAGTGGTCGTGGTGAGGCACATGGAGAGCAAAAAGAGGGACTCGAATGCCAGGCGTCCGATGAATGAGAGGGTTGCGCTAAAGGGCTTGGCACAATAATACGGCAAATAGCTCGACTGGCCTCTAGCCGGTCGTTGGACTTGAGAAACAAAAGACTCTGCTTTAAACCAGCCTGAGCGACCTCATCTGTTAGCCAACGAATGAAGAGCTCATCCATCTTCATTTTCAGAATCGGTACAAATGCCATATTCTCAGCAGCCCTGCACAAAAAAACATACGATTTATTGGTTGATTACAATTTCGAAGGAACCTGGAAAGATAGTTCACACGTGCTGGATTGAATTGGTGAGTGAAAACGAGTCATCTTTCAGTTATGCTAGCGTTGGCGAAGAACTGTGATGAGCAAATAAAAATCCACCCTCCAAAATGACAGGCACGAGTCCCACCTTTGCAAATGTGGTTATTGGATTTTCAAACGCTAAAACGATCGATCACAGTCGAAGCATGGTCTCATTTTTGCTTAAGTGATGTTAGAGAAAAGTCCAACCTACGTCCTTATAAGAAGACAATTAAGGTAAAAGGCCAAGTTTCAGAACTAAGGTAGCAACGATATCGTAAAAAAGCGATACTTACAAACATCATTCATACCTAAGGATCGAGAAATTATTGCAAAACAAACAAATAGGAAGACTAAGGTGTAAGTGTGATACGGTAACAACAGTGAAGTCTTCAAAG